TAAAACCAAGCTGCGAAGCTTTTTACTGGAACAGGCGTTTCGTTAAATAGTTTGTCCTCATGTACATATGTATTATATGAAGTAATAGTGGCCCGCCCTCGCTTCGCTTCGGTGTAGAGCTGTAGTGTAGACTATAGTTTTTGTTCTCAGGCTTGTTTTATACACAATGACATTCTTCTAAAATACCTAATTACAACAGGCACGCGCCGCCAAGCCCCCCGCCCGGTAGCGTCGGAACCGCTATGTCCCTGCATTTTAAATCTGTTTAGCTTATTTCGATTGCAAAGAAGATTAGAACATACCAATTATAGCAGCTTAGGTTGCTCAAGCAGTAATGTTAACTGACCGGGGAAGAATTCAACATGAGGTGGCTGCACTTCTAAACGTGCTGGTACCACATTAAGAAGAGCTCTCATAAGGCACCGGGAGACAGGTCTGGCCTGGTCTGTCTGGAAAGTGGACGAGTTAGATGCACCTCCTCTCGTGATGACTGATTTATCATACTGGCCGTATTGAGAAATCGGTTTCTGACTGCTGTTGAATTCAGGAGGCATGGGGTGTCATTGTTAGTGAACGTACGATAAAAAAAAGAAGGATGGCAAAGCGTGATTTACGTGCGCAGAGACCAGCACGAGGGTCATGGATCCACGTAGAGCATGATAAAACTTTTTGTTAAGTATATGCTCTTTTTAGTGATTCGGTTCTATATATTTTTTTTATAGCTGTCTAAAGTAAGAAGAAAAAGAATGTTTTTTGTTTCCCATTTCATTTGGTTTTTGTGATCTTCAATATAATTATTTTATCCCAAAGGACTATTTTATTTTATTAGTGTCTTGGGCAAGGCGTAAGCTAGGTAATGATCCAAAAGAACCTGGAAGAAGCGAACAAATTCTTCATAACGAGGGCCAGAATTGAAGAGACATCACAGAATTGCACGATTGAGGTTTGCGCGTGAACACGTGAATTGGATTCACGATCAGTGGATCAAAGTGTTATTCACGGACAAGTGTAGAGTGGCCTTACGAGCACCAGATGGTTGTGAGACAGTGTATGGGCGACGAGGAAAACCATTTTTCCCATCACGACATGTCAAACAGTAAGTTACCAAGGTGGGTATATAATAATATTGGGTGTGTGTTTAGGATCCCACACGGAATTAGTCTTTGTAAATCACCGCTTAACAGCGGTCAGGTACATTGAAGAGATCGTCGTAGATCATGTTCTGCCATCCGTGGGATTAAGGGCTCAATATGCTGAATGATAATGCAAGAGCCCATTTCGCGAAAAGCGTCGAATAGTATTGAGATGCTGTTGACATTCGAAAGTTGCTATGAGTTGCTCGCAGCCTAGACACAAATCCAATAGTTCTAGGACATGCTTAAGGGACGCGTCTGAGACTGAGACCCTCCAAAAACTGACTGTATTTATAACTCTGAGAATTTTAGAACTGTTCTCACGGCTGTTAGGGAAGAAATTCCTTAAGTGGATATCAAAAACATACTGCAAAGCATGCCAGAACGCATGGAAGCAGTAATTGCAGGGGGGGCGGCAATATGCGGTATTAAAGTTTCAAATTTTTAATATTAAGACGTAATTTTTCCATTTTTTTTCACTAAAGAAATTTTGGCAATAAAATTGTGTTTCATTGACATTTAATTTTTGTATCAAATAACAAATTTTTCCGCGTGCCTTTAGAGTAAAATTGGCTTAAAAACGGGTATCTATTAATTATAATAATAATATTAGAGCAATTTTTGTCTGTGGCTCGCTTTTTCTGCCGCTGAGTGTAATATTATATCAATAATTGTATCGAGTCGACACTGTAATGACAAATTGATTATCGTAGCTAGTAGTATTTCTTAAATAACGTGGGCTTTCTTTTCTGGTGGTAATTTCTTTTTTTACAGCTGAAAGAAATGCTGAACTGGTGGTAAAAATTCAAACGTTGTACTGTTAAATGTTTTAACTATTTTATTAAGTGTTGATTTCTTAAAACCATTCATATTTTTAGAAGTCGATTTGCAACTGACTATTCGCTGTCCGTGAGCCATTCGGAAGTCATTTCACATATAAAATCGTGTCGCTTATCTTTCTTGTTATAATGGGGTGAAAAAAGCTTACATCACAATAGGAAACAACTGACAAATGAATAATAGAACAAAAAACAACTCCTAACTTCGCACGTAACGGAACCAAAGCGAGACGTCGACAAACAAACCCGTGGCGAAATAAATAATTAAAACACGACTCAGTCCTTGTTCCACTGTTACACCCATACATCACACACGTTAAGACTGGAAGGAAATTGTAAATAAGTTGCCGAAGGTTTGGAAGTCACAGAATACCAACACTGAGTATACCCACTCCCACTAGCAGAAGCGCTGCGCGAGTGGCATGTATAGATGGCACCCATAACTATAATGATAAATTGAAACTGTTAAATCTTAAATTAAATTTTTAAAGGAGTAATGATAATAATTATTTACCTAATTTATATCTAAAAAGCTCGATGGCGCATCTGCTTAGCGCGTTCGGCTGCGATCGTTGAAGTTAAGCAACTTTCGCAGCGGTCGGTCATTGGATGTGTGACTAAAAAATTTACTATCTTGAGCTCCTCCGTGCTTCGGAAGGCACGTTAAGCTGTTGGTCCCGGCTGCATCTGCAGTCGTTAGCACCCACCGATCCGCACTGGGCCCGCGTGGTGGGTCATAGCCCAATCTCCCTATTCCATTCATAGGGAAGACCTGTGCCACTAGCAGTGGGGATATTAATAGACTGATGATGATGATGATGAGACCCCCCCGGAAAGCCGAATATTCGAAACCTTGGCCGCGTGGAATTCTGAGGCGTTTTTTTTTTTTATTTTTTTTTTTTATTTGTAAAGGTACATTAAACAGTTAAAGGCCAGCAAAAATGTACACAGCTGAATAACATAAGTAAACCTTATTTACCAAAAAGAAAACATATAAAGAAAAAAAAACATTGATGAAATAGTCTTCAATCTTAGGTAATGAAACAAAGCGGGCGAAAGGAAATAAATTTTAAATAATGTAATTAAATTGTATACTTAAAAGTTTATCAAACCTTTTTGGCAAACAGTAAGAGTTATTGCACTTTTTTAAATCAACTGTTATGGCCTTGGACAGAGTCGTATGATCGGTCAAAAGGTAAAGAAGAAAAGAAGCAATAAAGGAAGACAAATTATTTATCAGCCTATAAATTATACACACATACAATATAATTAACATAGATGATAAATTATATTGTTCAAACTCCAACTCGGTCGTAGCACCTGCCTAAGAATAAAGTCGTAACTAATATAATGTAATTAGATAATTATTATAATATCAAAACTTTTGATATGGAAGTGTTCCAAATAAAAAGTGTTTTATAGTGATTAGAAAAAAAAATGTGTGTGTCAGCTCCGACGCACGACCGGAGTTTACACTCTAAAAACGATTGTCTTTGAACAGACACTAAACAAAATCATGTCCGAAGAAGTCGGTTACAAGTAGAGATACCTCAGGAATCGTCCCATGGTTTCGACTATCATAGGTTCCATGTCACAGATTTTATCATCTAACATCAGCGATATTCATCATATAATTTATTATGTATTTCTGGAAACACACAATTTCAAAAATATCACACACTAGTCATAATTTTGTAAATATGTATTATAATTAGATCTGTACTGTAAATTCTATTCCAGAGTGCTGGACAGTTACCGGCATTTCTCTATATTCTGTTATTTATTTGTTTTCATTAATTTTGCTCCGATTTTATCTATTTTTAGTTTATTTATTTTATTGACATTTGTGACAACTTAATGTTTTTTATCCGTTGCCGTGGCTAAAAGTGAAAGGTGCGTGCGCAGATGAGGTTGCGCACAAAAACGTAACGAGATCATTAATGTCATTCATCGATAGATTTTACTTCTCACATTTTTCTCATACCGGGCCCGGGTAATATATGTAAATCGATTCTTAAGGAGTAAACCCCAAAAAAGGTAGTTTTTAGTTTCATAATGGAGAACAATGAACCTACTGTGACATCATTAGGCTATATCCCATCATGCAAAGTTGTATCGCGCGAAACTTGAACGAGTTTAAACTGAAACATAAATATTTTTTGGAGCGAAGAAACGAAATAGGTATTTTTTTATGATGAATAATAAATATAGAACGCGCCCCAGCTAAAAGATGTAACGTACTAACATAATGTTTTTCTAGAGCGGTGTTTTCCAAATCACATAATGAGTTATTTTTTGTAGAATGCCACAGACTTAAACCGATACCTGAGACGATTTTTATTGTGAAGTCTATCGCATTTTTGGTGAAGTTAGGCAGTCTATTCATAATATGACACCAGTTATGACAAAACGAATAAAAAATCTTCTTGCTTAGTTGTTTAAGAAAAACGGTTAAGGATATACTCGATTCGACGACCTCTGTGGCCGAGTGGTTTGTACACCGGGTTTCATGGTGTCGCCGACTCGAGAAGTTCCGGGTTCGAATACCGGTGGGGGCAGATGTTTGTGTGATGAATACGTGCATTTGTACTCCAGTCATGGATGTTTAATATGTATTTCTATAAAATATACTTATATATGTACAGTATATGTATTTTATCCGTTACCTTAGTATCCCATAACACAAGCCTTATAGTGCTTACTTTGGGGCTAGGCTTATTGGTGTGTGTGTTGAAATATTTATTTATTATTTATAAAAAAAATAGTCTGCGCTAGGTAGAATACATTCATTTAAAACACTCCTTCTATTTAGTTTTGCATAGAACTAAAATAATTATATTCAAGTCGCATCAAAATACCCCACCCCACCTGATGTTAATTGTAAGTGGAGTCCAGTCGCAAAGATAGATGATGTGGCAGAAGGTGTGTCAGCTAGCCTCACCTTGCCGACCTGAACCCAATACTCACCCCGTGAAGCCCTGGAACCCCACTCACTAACAGAAAGACAACACCACTTAAACTTACTTACTTATACTCTGCGGCGCAACAATCCAAAGTGGATCTTGGCCACCGACACAAGATTACGCCATGCTCTGCGATCCCGGGCTAGGTCCCGCCAGCAGTCGGCACCCAAAGACTGCAAGTTCTTCTGCACCTCGTCGCTCCAGCGGAATCTGGGACGTCCAACGGGCCATCGTCCAATCGGTCGCCCCAAATGCGCTCTTTTCACGGCTCGATCCTCTCCCATTCTCTCTACATGTCCAAGCCAGCGAAGTCTAGCTGCTTTAATTTCTTCTATGATGTTCGGCTCGGACACTAGATTTTCCAGCTCAATTTTCGTCCGCACTCTCCAACAACACCACTAAAACTTACTTACTTACTTATTGCTGCGGCGCAACGATCCAAAGTGGATCTTGGCCTCCGACACAAGATGACGCCATGCTTTGCGATCCCGGGCTAGGTCCCACCAGCAGTCGGCACCCAAAGACTGCAAGTCCTTCTGCACCTCGTCACTGAAGCGGTATCTGGGACGTCCAACGGGCCGTTGTCCAATCGGTCGCCCCAAATACGCTCTTTTCACTTCTCGGTCCTCTCGCATTCTCTCTACATGTCCGAGCCAGCGAAGTCTAGCTGCTTTAATTTCTCCTATGATGTCGGGATCGGACAGTAGATCCTCTCCTTGAGTCGGTCCCAGGATCTTCCGCAGAATCCTTCTTTCTAACAACTTATTCTCTTCTCTAATCACTAAAAGGTAGTGTTATTTTACTGTGGTCTTCTGAAAGGTGGAGATTGCTTTACCAGACAGGCTCTCCAATCTCCAGAGACGCAAGCTTAAAAGAAGTACCTTTAGGGGCACCTAGGAGTAACCTGGATTCACAGCACATTGTGCCTTTGTTTTCGGCTACAGTCGCCTATGAAAGGTCGGAAACTTTAATCGTTGTTAATGTTACCATCAAGCGATCGCACTTCTCGTCTTTTGTTTTTTATAAAAAACACCCTAAGGAATTGCTTTACTACAAGGATTATTTTATAACAGATTAGTAATGAACAGTGAACTAATTCTTTAACTTACGCCTATGTGAATGTAGCGAAATGGCCAAGCCACATATTTCGACTAAGATGTAGAGTTTGTGAAGTTAGGCCTTGTAGAGTTAGACACTTGGCTCTACATGAGATCTGGTAACTTTTTGACAGTATGGTCTCGTCTTGGCAACATTGTACATAATATGTTTTGGTGGTTTTTTTTTTCTTTTAATAATGAGGAGCTCGACAGTGCAGTTGGTTAGCGCGTTCGGCTGCGATCGTTTGAAGTTAAGCAACTTTCACAGTGGTCGGTTATTGGATGGGTGACCAAAAATCTTCTACCTCGAGTTCCTCCGTTCTTCGGAAGGCACGTTAAGCAACGGACTGCTGCATTTGCAGTCGTAAGCACCGGCCAATAAGCACTAGGTCCGCGAGGTAGGTCATGGCCCAATCTCCCTATTCCATCCATAGGGAAGGCCTTTGATCCAGCAGTAGGTACATTAATAGGCTGATGATGATAATTACTATTAAGTTTGACATTTGCCAGGCGTTCCGTGTAGGATAACTTGTTTGATATCAAAACTCAAAGTTTTTGTTTAGTATTAAATAAATGTATTTCTGATTCCGTGAACAAATAAATCGATCTCCCAACTTTTTACTGAAACCCTCAAATGAGACGTAACGGAACTTTATTCTTTGGCATTAAAGCATCAGTACTAAAATTCGTATTATCTATGGGATGCCATGACTTTCGAACTGGCCAGGACAGACAGAAGTAAAGCTTTTTGTACTAATATAATACGATACTGATATAAATATAAATAACACTATTTGTATTTATACTGTACTAGCGGCCCGCCCTCGCTTCGCTTCGGTGTAGAGCTGAAGTGTAGACTACAATTTTTGTTCTCAGGCTTGTATTATACACAATGACATTCATCTATGATTCTTCTTATATCTGCATGCAAAGTCTCAGCCCGATCGGTTTAAAATTGACAAAGTTTCATACAAACTTTCATTCCCTATTTTATCCCCTTGGGGGTAGAATTGATCAAAATCCTTTCTTAGCGAATGCCTACGTCATTACATCTACCTGCATGCCAAATTTCAGCCCGATCCGTCCAGTGGTTTGGGCTGTGTGTTGATAGATCACTATGTCAGTCAGTCAGTCACCTTTGAGTTTTATATATATAGATGACACAGCAATCATAATGCAGGTAAATAGTTAATGTATATTTAATCATTATGTAATGAAAGGCAGCCCGCCAGATGGTCCGATGACATCACAAGAGTAGCAGGACGAAATTGGATCCGGATTGCACAACACCGAGCAAATTGGCGCACCATGGAGGAGACCTATACCCAGCAGTGGGTGGATAAAGGTTGAAGAAGAAGAAGAAGAATGAAAGGTGACTTCATGAATCATCTCTGAAGTCATTTTTCAACTTGACGACTCTGTATATAACAAAACAGGAAGAAAAAGACAGGCCTTGCTGTATCTTGCCGGTTCTTCTCAGTACAAGGTCTCCCGCCGTAGATTTACGAATCACTAGCGTAGCATCTAGCCATTCTAAGTGGCTCTTGGCTCGCCACCTCTCTTCGATTCTCCACCTGAAGCTCCCGCAATTTCAACATGACTTGGTCAAGCCAAGTACAGATAATGCAACCCATGAAGATGTGCCTCACCAATTTTTGGTTGAAGGATAATTAGTGATAAAAAGATAAATATAATTTTCATCTTAGTCTTAGTAGAACGGCGGGCTGTTTCCGCAACTCGACACCCAGTACCCATTTTGCGTGGGGATTGGCATCAGTCCTGCCATCCCAGCTCCTCCAGAAAGCTCAGCAGTCCCCGGATGTTGCTGCAGGCTTCTACTAGTGTCCGCAGGCTTCCCATTAGAGAAGTCCTTTGTCTTGCAACGCCTCTGCACTCCAGCAGAACATGGCCGCTCGTCTCCTCCTCCTCTAAGAGCAGGCTCTGCACAGGCGTCTGTCAGAAATACCTATATTATAAAGGTGTTTGTTGAAGTAGCCGTGACCCGTGAGTATACCCACGATTTGTTTCAGGGCTTGTCTAGGTAGTTGGATGAACTTACGTGATAGCTGCTGGTTTACCTTAGGAAAGGCTTCCCTAGCTTGCTTGCAGTCAGTGTGTTTTGCCCAATATTCATCGTGTTGTCGTTGACAGCGCTCCCTTATCCAGGTTCTCAGACATTGCCAGAAAATGATGTTGGTCTACGTAGTTATCATATTATTATTTAATATTATCACAGATAATAAGTGTGTACCGATAATACTCAAATATTGGCGGAAGCTGGCACACATTTACTATAAACAGTTAGGAGGAATATTGGGGAGCGTCTTCGTGGATTGCAATATGTGTATCTGGGCCGTCGGACAGGGCGGCCACTCGGTTATCCTTGGAATGCAGACTTGTTTAATCTTTACTCATCATCATCATCATCAGCCCATAATAATGCCCCACTGCTGGGACACAGGCCTTCCCAATGGATGGAATAGGGAGATTGGACCATGACCCACCACGCGGACCCAGTGAGGATTGGCGGGTGCTAACGACTACAGCTGCAGCCTGGACGAACGGCTTAACGTGCCTTCCGAAGCACAGAGGAACTCGAGATAGAAGATTTTTGGTCACCCATCCAATGAACGACCACTGCGAAAGTTGCTTAACTTCAACGATCGCAGCCGAACGCGCTAACCACCAGCGTGATCTAGCTCCTCTTCGAGCGTCTTTCCTATAAATATATGTATATACAACTCTGCCAAAGTATTTAGATTAGACTAGGTTAAGATCGCAGTATAATAACGGTCAGTGTATTCAGCCGAATTTCAAATGATGCTAGTTCGGGTCCAGCATAAACGTAGTCGAGTCGATTTCTTTCTTATAATATTTTATTCCAGTATACTTAAAAGTTGTCAATTTCATAAGGTTTTGTCGTCAGCATGTTACTTTTCCCATGGCATTCCCCGTGGGTGGAATGGAGAGAATAGATGGTCCATTCTATCGATCCTATGACCCTATACGCGGGCACAAAAGTGGGTGATGACAACCACAGAATACAGGAAGAGGTTATAAGAGCCTTGTGGGCGGAGCAGTCGCGACACAGTTATGTGTGAGCAAATGCTCATAACTTCACCAAAACTTGGTTCTGATTGCATCGTTGCTCTCGGATATGAGCACTGATTGGTTCAATTGTTTGATGTCGCTTCGTTTGATTGGCTATTAGGTGAAAGTGTAGTGGGGCGAGTTGGCGACATCAGTTCCCGTACATATGGACTATGATCAACTTTCTAACCTTTTTCTGTGATGAAAACTATAGATACAGTTCTAATCAATGTGTAGTACAATCATGCTTCTATCACACACCTGCGCGACGAAGCTTCGGGGTTTTTTTTTCTAAATGTTTTTTTTCTTTTTTTTTTATGCAAAATAGGCAATGCGTTTGACCACAATCTTACCTGATGGAAAGCGATGATGAGGCCTTGATGGTACACGCCTACCTAGAAGATGCCTGTTCACTCTGGCCTTGAAGATGTCCAGATTATATTGGTCCGGGAAAACAGACCTCGGCAAGGAGTTCCACTCCCTAGCCGTTCGCGTAATGAAGGCCGAAGCAAATCGCTTCGTGCGAATGGGAGGAACTTCGACAACATAAGGTTGGAAGCCCTCGCCTTGCCTGGTCGTCCGGTGATGGAAAGGGGAAGGGGAGAATCAAATTTTGTAATACCTCCGCATACTCTACGAAAAAAATGTTAAAAAAAGAATTTTGAATTAGTTCTGTCGTGCTGAATTAGCGGTCTGCGAGTCTATAGACTATAGACGATAGCTTGACTGGCGATAATTTGAAAGGCTAAAAGAGGTTTTGGAAAACGATAAATTTGTATGTGCAGTTGAAGGACCATACTTAATTCAATGTTTGGACGGTAATTTTAGCGCATTTTAGTACCAAAGACACCCGAAGCATTGTCACGCAAGTGCAAGACAAGCATCACGCAATAATCACAGTAAACGAATAAATGAGAAAGTTGGATAAAACAGATACGAATTCAGCGTCGCACGCGCTGACTTTCGCAATTCTTCTTTTGAAGACCTCCGTGGTCGAGTGGTTTGTACGCCGGGTTTCATGGTGTCGCCGACTCAAGAGGTCCCACCGGGATTCGAACCCTCCCGGGTTCCGGGGGCAGATGTTTGAGCGATGAATACTTGCATTTGTACTCCAGTCACGGATGTTTATATAAATATACTTATATATGTATTTCTATATCTATATAAATATACTTAAATATGTACTGTATATGTATTCTATCCGTTACCCTAGTAACCCATAACTGAAGCCTTTCAGTGCTTACTTTGGGGCTAGGCTAATGGGTGTGAGTGTTGGAAATATTTATTTATTTTGCCAAAACAAATGGAAAAATCTAACGATAATTTTACTAGATTTGTTTTGTGGTAAAATTTTAGTTATATTTTTAACAATTTAAGCACGTAACTGCAAGATGTTTGAAAATTGAAAATTTTACTTAAAAAAAATCAGGGAAGCATAATGCTCAGTGCATTCGGCCGGATAGCGAAAGGTGCGGTTCCAGTCCCGCCTGCTACCTGGACCGCGTAGATTTTTTCTACTAAAATTTTGTTCAGATTTAAACATCTAGTTTCAGTCAGTTAAATGCTTTAAAATGAAAAATATAAATAGACAAATCTGTATCCCGACATCCAATAAAATATGGGGACACCACACTCGGTCCCCAATAAACCTACCGGTGGCAGTAAATCTTTTCGCACACTCGTAAAAGTACAACTTTACGATGCGTTTACCGCGAAATATACGGGACCTTGGTT